CAACATATCTCTCCCTCTTTCTCTCTTCCTATTACCTTCCACTTTTGCTTTAGAAGTCATCCCCATTGTGGAACAATTTGAAAAGACCAGCCCTGTCTTATGAATCTGTGTGCTTTATCAATTTGTTTATATATTTAAAGATGATTACTCCTCCCAGATGTATATAAACTGAATAAAATAAGTTTCTTTATTTTCCCCTCGGATTTTTGAGAGTAGGATTGGAGGCATCTCAAATAATGAGGTGAACCAAGTCACTGCTATGAAATACTGCCCTCGCTTGGCTGGAGAGAGAATAGATTATTTTCTTTGACCCCTTTGATTTTATTTATTAGTTGATCATAGTCGTCAGTGCCCTGCTGTGATATCGATTGCTCGAGGCATTCGCTCTTAATATGAGTCTATACGCTTGTGGAGTATTTTATTATGGGCGCAGATTTTAATGGGGGTGAGATTAATACCTCTGTCACAGAGGTTGATTCGCCTCCCCGCCCTCGCATTCTCTCCCTGGATTTGTACTATGCTGGAGATCAGAGGCGCAGGCTCACGGCCTTGATGTGAATGGCAGCCTATAAAACCTACAGTCAAACTAAAGTGCTGTACCCAGCTGCGAAATGAGCAGAAGTGGAGGAATATGCGTCATCTCTCATATATTTTGTCCAGCCCCCACCAGCTGCTTTATTATATCCAAGCGTTCACTTCCTAACTCCCTGCTAGCATTTCCTGGTTAAAGCCCACCACCCCGCCTGCACCGTCTCCCCCATCTCCCTGTTCCTTTCACCCACATTGATCATCTGCTGCCAGCCAGCAGGTGTTTCAGGGTGGCATCTCTCAGCAGGCAACGGCGGATATCAGTCGTCACGATTCAAACAGTCGTTAATGCTTTTAAATATTTTATTTCTCTTTGCCGTTTTCCGTCTGCGCTGCTATGCCACTGCAGCTAATTTCCTTTGAAGGGGTGACAGCTGTCAGGAGAAATGGGACTACAGTACAAATGGACAGCTAATTAGTTTTCTGGCATCATCGAAGACACAAACTTTTGGTCCTTGTTTTTTAAAGTTGCTGCTTAATGTTGTGTTGTTGTTTTGTTGTTGTTGTTTCTAACTGGTCACTAATCACACGCAGACAATGCACTGACTTTGTTAGGATGCACGGCAGCACTATTACAATTAGCATTGTTTAACACAATAGATGCAATGCCCTGCCCAGTTGCTATGGTGTTGAGTAATAACATCCATTAGAGGAATAATTGGGATGGCGGTGGCAGGCCCGATGGCCCTTGATATGAATCACAATATTGATGCAGAGAATGGGAGCAATAATGACTTCAATTAGTGGTAATTGTCAAGTTTTTTTTTCCTCAGTTCTACAGAGCGTTGGAGTCCCCCTTTGTCTTTATTCCCTTTTGGGGTTTCTTCCATCCTCTTCAGTATCCACCATGTCTCAGCGTTCCCCCCCAACATGATGAATATGTAAGCTTTAAGTATTTAATTAAAAGAGAATAAAATCAAGAAGGGAATTGGATTTTGGTAAAGCTGGGGAGATCAGATGATGTCAAAAAAAGCTTAATTGCAATATGCCAACCTCTGTATTTGCACACCCATGGCACATCCCACCTATTGTAAATGTGCACACGCACAATCTTTGAACTTGTTCCATTGCAGATTTAGACTTTTTTTTTTTGGCCTGAAGCCGTCAAATCAGCAGCTCATGCCACAGCAGCCACCATCTGTTTGTCTCACAACATTTCCTCCTCCCTCAAAGTGTTTAACGGAGCTCAGGAGCGCTGCTAACCTCAGCGGTGATATGTATATATGTAGTCCCATCTCCTTTATCGGCTTTTCTTATTGCACGCTTCATCACTGCACTTCAATACCGATGTTGTTCTTCTTCTAAATCTTCCCCGCGGCCAACACTTTGCCGTGGCAAGGAGGAATGCAAATCGCAATGCAAATTGGTAAATACTAGTTTGTGAAAGCCAGTAAGCTGATCCTCTGCTGAAGACAATCTCATTCCACCCTTGACTGAAACCATCTGAATAATTGCTCCTCAAATAATTTATATTCAAACGATGGCCCTCGTTGTTCGTTTGGCCCAGCAGGAGGGAAAGAATCGGCTACGCCGCGTCAGCAGGTTGACGACAAACATAGAGGAAGCTATAATCAAAGAATATTCAGCGTCTTTATGATTGACTTTTTGCAATTTTACCAACATCTATTTCAGAGACCCCATTGTCCAAAAACACAGGGCTTAGGGATCATTTTGTTTAGTAAATTATGTGGGGAAATATCTGCTAGTGTAAATGTCACAGCATGAATGTGGGATTTTGTCTCTGTCCTCATTTGCAGGTGAATAGTTAAAAGGAGCATGTGTTCATAAAGGGCTCTGCATGTTTGAGTACTCATTTGCAAGTGCCTAGGCTGGTGTATTATCCCAGCACTCTAATAAGAACCATTAAATTTGAATAATGGAATGTAATCAATTGGTTTAGCTTCCACCTGGAAGATGAATCACATTATGAGTGTGTGATGTGCATTCAAGGCTTCGGTCTCAGAGCTCCACACTCAGACTCATACAAAATGACTTTAGCGTAACAGCAGTATTTATACCTATTTGTAGTTTCAGGGTCACAGCCTAGTGATCCGTGCAGGTGCCGATGCACTGGTCGATATTTAAAAGTGTTTAAGGTGTGCGTCTCATCTTTGTGATTTAATAATGTACTGTATTCAAATCTTCATTAATGAATTTTATTAAACCAACAAAAGCAATGTGGCTATTTTAGAAAATCAAAACTGAATGGCCATGATTTTTTTAATTGCTATTACACATGAAAGTGTCACTCATAAGGATATGCTTTAACTTGTAATCAGTGGGTGTCATTTCTCTGGCTTTCAGTCTCTTTATCACCTTCTTCCCTTTTTCTCCATTTACATCTACTTTGTCCACATTTCCCTTTGTTTTGTCACTGTGATGAATAGGAGTTAAGTAAGGGACGTCTTAAGTACCTTATTTTTTGAAAGATTGTATCTCAAGAGAGCTGTGAATTGATCATTTTTTTATTCCTGTGCATCTGTTCACTGTATTCTTCTTTTTAATGTTTTTCCCTCTTCATCATGCAGTCTTTGTATCACTAAATGAACATCCATCTTTCTCTCCCTCAGCTCACTGTCAAGCAGTGCAAGCAGAGAATGTGGAAGTCCTGGAGGGAGGAACGGCCCACATCTCGTGCCGCCTGCAGGACTACGACGGCTCGATAGTGGTCATCCAGAATCCCCGCCGACAGACTCTCTTCTTTAATGGCACACGAGGTGAGTAGCTGCATGCATGTTTGTTTCAGACGGCAAACTTAATCCATCTCTGTCGACTTGTTTGCCCTCTGTGACATTTCAAGCAAGGCTTTTTAGATGCATTAGCACTGACACAACAGCCCTTGCATTTGATATTTTTTCTTGTTATGAAATGTCCTCACTTTGCTTTCAAAGATGTCATACTACATTTTTAACTGTCAAGTTTATTCAGATGGGTGTACTCTCATGTGGCAGTGTGACTGCACTAACTAGAAAAAAAACAGTTTGAAGCTTTTTGCACAATTTACTGTTAACCTCATGGATGAGATCAGAGCTTATTAAAGTTCTCATTAGAGAATAACCTTGGCAATATTTCATTTTTTTAAAACTGCTCCATAGCAAATTATCATTGTAACCAATATTATAATCAAGGCAGATTTCATTTAGGACCTCGGGTTAGGCAAACACTAGATGTTTTTACTTGCTAATTAAATGCAAGGGCAAGTTGCTACCTTCAACAGATTTTTTTTGTAGGTGCTGCTAGGAAACCTTTCAGCTAACGGAAGGTGATCAAGGACGTTAAGAAACGCTTTTGAAATTTGTCTGGCTGCTTAATTGAAACACAAAAAGCATTATGTTCTGTAGTGTATCGAGGATATTTATGTATCTTAATTCCCTTCATAGCTTGGATTTGATGAGGGCATATTACATATGAAAAAGTTGGTACGTGCGGGCAAATCTGAAATCCTTAATAACTCAAAATAGAAAAAAGTATGATTTTTTTTTCAACCGCATTCACTTCACCTCCAGAGACAAGAGTTAAAACTTTTTGCTCTTGGGTTTTGTTTACAGAAGAACCATAAAGATTGAGTCCAATAAGTCTAATGGTTTAGTCCAGGGGTACCCAACACATCTCATTTAACAATCTATTTAACCTTCAGCAATGGTATACCACAAAGCTCTGTCTTATTAGGACACACCCTCTTCACAGTCTACATAAATAATGTAGGTCAGATCATTCTTGATGCATTCTTACATTTGTATGCAGATGACACAGTTGTTTATTGTCGAGCTAAAACATTTGCTACGGTTTTCCAGCTTTTACAGTTTGCATTCAACATCATCCAGTCAGGTTTGCTCCATCTCATACTGGTGCTAAATGCTGATACAAATACTTGGGAATCTTGGTTGATCCACATCTCTCTTTTAAGCCTCACGTCGAAAACTTTATGAAGAAATTTAAAGTAAAACTGGGTTTCTTTTTCAGAAATAGATCCTGTCTAACTCTGAACACTAGGAAACGCCTTGTACTTCTACGTTCCTCCCCTCCTTTGACTATGGTGACATTATTTACATGGACACTCATGTAAGCACCTTGCAGATGTTGGACGTTTTCTATCATGGTGTGCTAAGATTCATAACTGGCTGTAACAACTGTACCCATTAGTGCACCCTGTATTCACTGGTTAACTGGTCATCATTAATTTCACGCAGACTCTCTCACTGGTACATTTTCATCTTTAAATCACTTCTTGGTTTGATGCCTTCATATATATTTTCCTACATATCACATCATCAGTGCAGCTACAGCGTGCACTCCCAAGACATCATTACCTGCAGCGTCCTCACAGTGCGGATGGAATTTGGCGAAAAGGCCTTCTCTTATTCTGCTCCTGTTTCCTGGAATACCTTTAAAAAGATCTCAAGCTCTCGACTTTGACCTCCCTAAGGGATTTTAAACTACTAAGTTCAATGCAAAAATCAATGTAGGCATGTTCCTGTTATTAGTATTCTACACCGTTTTTTTTTTTTAATGTAGCATGTTTTTTATTTTGTTTTATATCACTTCTTTTATATAATTTTCATTTTATATGCTTTTATATAAATGTTTATTGTTGCGTGTACTTCATTTGTGGCTTTTGTTTAAAACAGGTCTATCAGTCCTCGTGACTCAGTGAGACTAACCTGTATAAATAAATGTTGAATGAATGGAAACAAAAAAAAAACACTGCCCACAGACACCTGGTCACCCGCAGGGACCACGCGAGTTGCCCGCGTGGCATATTCTAAAAATAGCATCATCAAGGAGCACTGCCTAAAAATCGCCATTAATTATATGATCTTAAATTTAAGTAATAACATTTGCATGGATGTATATTTGAAATGAAAATAATTAATGAAAACTTCTAGAATAAAATGTTTTATGTTTTATGTATACAGCTCAGCAACCTTGTCTGGAGTCAATATTCTAAACGGTGCGGAGAGGCACTGAGATTTCTGCGAGCAGCACAGCTACAAACTATTTTTACCTCCCTGAGTAGCAGGGAAAATGGCAGGAAAGCTTAAGAAAACATTATTTTCACAGTGATTAGGAGGAAGAGTTTTTTTAACAGTTGTGAAAGACAAATGTGTGCATGTTCCATTTGTGGAGCAACTGTGACAACATCAAAACGCCACATTGTGGAGCAACACTTCACCAGCTAACACATTAGCTTTAATACTAACTTTCTGCAGGGCATGACGGGCAAACACCAGGAGTTAAAGGCAGCTTTGAGCAAACAGCAGTCTTTCTTTATGAGGCACTTTCATGTGTGGAGGTCTTGAAAGAAGCAATGATGAATAATGTGACAAGTAGTTTGTACCAAAGAGTAAAAGACGTGATAATCAGTTAAAAATGCTTCAGATCTGAGGATCAGTATTAATGTTACATTTAAAAATACAAAAATGTTGTTCAAAAATGCACTGAATTTCAAATGTTACCGATTGCGATTACAATAAAATAAATATTTTATGTTCAGATATCTATTTTATGCTATAGTAAATCAATCCATTAGGTCCCCCTTGTTACTAATCAGGGTCTGGAGCCTATATTAGCTGCCTTTGTACCTTTACCTTCGGATGAAGATGGGACAGTCCGGACAGGCCTCCAGCCCATCACAGGGACACAGACAGAGAGACAACCACACTCCCAGACACCTAGAGCAATTTAGAGTCCTACAGAAGAGCTCCAAAAGGGATTCAAACTGAGAAATCGAGTTCTCGATTGAGAGTTCTAATCACTAATTATGAATAATAATTGATCATATCTGCCATGGTAAATCCTTATAGAAAATTATTGGGAGGAGTCCTTAACATTCATCATCATATATCTATATCTATCTATCTATCTATCTATCTATCTATCTATCTATCTATCTATATATCTATCTATCTATCTATCTATCTATCTATCTATCTATCTATCTATCTATCTATCTATCTATCTATCTATCTATCTATCTATCTATCTATCTATCTATCTATCTATCTATCTATCTATCTATCTATCTATCTATCTATCTATCTATCTATCTATCTATCTATCTATCTATCTATCTATCTATCTATCTATCTATCTATCTATCTATCTATC